CAGCACTCTGTAGAGCAGAGCTGGCAGCCTAGCCCAGCAGGGCTAGGACTAAATGGTGCCTAAACCGCAACACATCTTACCCCGCACAGACCGTGTGCTTAAGTAGGCTTTAAGCACAAACTACGGAGCTTAAGTAGGCTTTAAGCATAAACTACGCTTTAAGCGTAGCCTAGCTCAACACGACACATCTCTGACCCGAAGTCAGAAAATAAAATCCATGTGATATATGAAAAATCTTCTTTGCCACTGCCAATTTTCTCATAAAGTTTATTCGCTACAACTGCTTCATAAAACTCCAGATAATTTCTGAAGTTAGTTTTCGAAGTATGTTAAAACTCAGAAGCAAGGCTTACAAGAGAAATAACCATCTTTCATGGGATTGAACATATAAGAATTTTAATTTAGATACTTGAATTTTGCTCCAAACAACAGGTTTATCTTAAATGCATAGACAACTCTRGAATGAAGCATATTTCAAACATTTTTTTAAAAAAATTTGAATTTCTGTGAAAAACAACATAGATGATAAAATACAGGGCAAAATTAAGGTGTTTTAAAATATATCTTGCAAGTTTTTTGTAAGCTGTCAGCCTGTAAAATTAATTACATGTCTTGATGCAGAATTACAATGCTAACTAACTTTTGTATTACTAAGCAGCTTGGAACAGGTTATATCCATTTTTCTGGAGCAAAGGACTGTTGTACATACAATGTTTAAGGAAAGAAGAATCTCTTTCATCAAAAGCTCTCCCGATGTTAGTGAAGCTTATGTACATCAGATTCCTTATTTTTATTCTAGCAAAGAAACATCTGACATTTTTGAAACAGGCCAACTAGCTGATTCTGATCTGTCAGCAGGAGGTTCCACCTCCCAGCTAAAGAATGAGGGTGGGAATAATCTCACCCAATATTGCACTAGGTTTGTCAATCGGGGCTCACTGTATTTATTAATCATAACACTTCCACAGGCCAAAGTGTCTCATCACAAAAGAGGCTGCCAAAGCAGCTGGGATGAATCACCCTYGGGAGATTTCCTGTTCTCTAGAGTAACACCATGACCCACTGGAACTAGCTCAAACATGAATACTCCTTTTTGGACATCGGAGGTGTGACAAAAGAGAGTCTAACCCCATTTTGCACTTCCAACATCCCCACGAATTGCACCCAAGAGAAGCTGGGTGCACCGAAAGCCCAGGTCACATATCCCACGTAGGTACATCCCTGTCTCCTCTGCGTGCAAATGACAAGCGCTGGCTTATCTAAAACTGCGCTCAAAATCTTTAACAAAATCAAAATATCAGTAGATGTTGAATTCCTCTTTACAGTCAAGGCCAAGTAACTCACACGGCCATAGGAGCAACACCAAGTCAAGGCAGCTGCTTCCTTTGGCTAAAAAGAGGCCTCTGGTGGTGGATGTGAAGTACAGCTTCCCAAAGTTTTATGAAGTGTGTATTTTGATGACAATTTTCTACACAGAAACATATCCACAGAAATAAACTTTGCCAGACATTTTCTACAAAAATATGTGATATATTACTGCTCTTGTCCAAAGCTTCATTCCATCCCTCTTCACTCCTACATCACAGTTTATCAGATAAATCTTAAAGCTGTACACATTTCCCATTAAGCAAAACTGCTTTTAAGCATGTTTTAAAATAGGTACATTGAAAGCTTAAAGTGATTTCACCATTACAGAGAGTAATGGTGAAGGTTAGAGGCCTGCTTACTACCTGAGACTTGAAGACCGCTTCRTTTTGTTTAAAAAATATGTAGATTGGCAAGTAAAACTTAGCGATATATTTTATATGCATGTGTGTTTCTAAGATAAGCTTATGGTTTTCCACTGTTGCAAAATAAAATAGATGAGACTGGCAAACGGATATGACTTCTGTAAAAACGGTAGCTCCTTTAGAGTACCTGCAGCACAAGGAGAACACAGGTCTTTGACAAGGCTGGACTGAGTTTGAGGCACATGGATAGGACAACAACACGGCTTACGAGACCGACAGAAATAAAGCTTCCTGCCTTCTAGAAAGGGGCACACAGAAGACCCATATAAAACAGAGGACTGCAACTGAAATATTAACGTTAGCATGAATTAAATGTGAATTTATTGCATCAAGTCCCGTGCACCATTCCTTTCCCTCRAGACAAAAAGGGGACAATCTGGCCTAAGATTCACGGAGACGGGATGACCAGGCCTAGTCCCCCTGCCCAGCACRTCCTCACGGAGGCGACTTCAGCAGCTCAAGGGGCGGCTGAAAACACCCTCCGGCACCGCTGGCTCTGCTTTGCTTCTTGACACCATCCTCACAGGGAAGGAATAACGAAAGTTGAGCAATTCCTGCTGCCGGAAWCGGCTCTGAGAGGCCCCTGGCACCGCAGCAACGGCACCCGGCAGGCCCGCTGGGAACCGGCTCTGGGAAGCAGCTGGAATTAGCTCCATGCTCCTATTCATTCGTGTTCGCAGCCACCGTAACAGCCATTTGTGTCCATATTAACTTTGAGAGTTTCAGTATCAAAAGTACCAAATGTACTAATTATTTTCAGTTGAGCAAAACATACAGGGTTTTTATAGGAAATAGCCTATCATCTAATATATATAGCTGCATTTTTATCCCAATCATATTTCACTGCAAGAACATTCAACAATTCAGTGAGATGCTTTGGAAAAAAAAAAAGGAAAAATAAAAGCTAAGAAACGATTAATATAATTGGGGAAAAAAAAGGAAAAATAAAAGCTAAGAAACAATTAATATAATTGTCTAAGAGGGATTATAAGGGATCTGTGAGAAATAAATTAAAATAGTGCACAAGAGAACATGCTATTGCCAGAGTTTCTATCAATGACTACAGTTTAACACGTTTCATTGAATGTTTGGAAATCACCACGTACATGGAAAGAACATCCAAGTAATATGAAATACACTGAAAAAAAACCACCGAAACCACTTCAACCGAGAAAATTGAATTTATATGAAGCAGCACACAGCTATGCACATAAACACACAACTAGTGACACATGCACAAGTGTACAAAGCATTGCCAGCAGCAGACTTCCAGCATGGCTGTTTCCTTCCATCATCTGCTCCACACAGTCCCACCTACAAACTCTCCAAAACCAACACTGCAAAACTCACAGTGCTGAGAAATACACACAGGCTTCCCCATAAAGCAGCTGCCCAGCAGCTCATCCTGCTCTCGGGCACAACCTGAGCTGGCTTAAAACCAGGGCGCTTAGTGCAGCACGAGGGGCAGAGCTTTGCCCGGGCTCTGGGAGCTGCTCCCAGAGGCAGCGTGCAGATAAGGAGCAGCGTGGTCGGAAAGGATGTCCCAGTGCTGGCCGCAGCAGGGGGGCTCTCCAGCAGCTCCTGTGCTGAGGGACCCTGGCCGTGCTGCAGCAAAGGGGCTTCACGTACAAGACGCCAGGGTAACTGCCACGACGGAGCTACAGTAAAGGTCCATTTATAAAAGTCCGCCCAAAGCAGCAAAAAATTCACACTTATTTTGCGGAATCTATGATTACTCATGCTTTTATAAGGTAAGGTACTCTGTTAAAATTAAAAATAACGCAAATACTATAAATGCACAAATAAATCTCTAATTCAGAAACATTGCAAAAAAAAAAAAAAAAAACAGTGATTTAAAATTCCACATACTATTTTTCCTTTTCATGAGCTCTGTTTTTTTTTCCCAATTTCCGAATTGGCACAAATAGTACCTTGGGATTCTTTTTTTTAGCGTCAGAACATGCTTGTTAGCAGAAATGTAAGGCACACTGCACATTTGTCACCCACTCCTGATCCATTCTGACTGATGACAATGTCTGTGTGAACACAGAGCTGTTACTGCCCCACGCAGCGCCCGACTCCTTCRGCACCCGCTCTGGAAACATCCATCAAGATGCTCAAAGGATCCAACTACAGAGGATCCAACCACTCTTTTGGAATTCCCCTTTTATCCATGAATACTATTCTATCRTGACACTGCACTATTTTTTTTTTCTTAGCCAAAAACAAACCAAAAGAATAACCAAGTGTGTTCAATAATCAGCCAATTTCACTACTGAGCTGACATCCAATGCTTCAGATTTGAAGAACATCATGAATGTGAAAACAAATGCTTAGAATGGACTGATTTTGATTTTAGTAACAGACTTTTGAACCAAGTTACTAATTTCTAACTTACTCAGCCATAAGATTTTCAAATCATTTATTCTGATGTCTCTCATCTACTGGATTAGCTAGTCCTTTTTATATCCTCGCATGAAATAGATACATGCATGTGTGTGCAGGTATGTATGTCTATATACACAGACTAAAGCCAGGGCTGAATATTGCTTTAAATGATAGGCTTTAACCAGGCTAAAGACTTTTGCTAAGTTTGTAGGATATGTAGTTATTTTGCTTCAAATCCACTTCCCAGTGCTTTGATTTTGCAAGGAATTTTGCTCAAAACCTCCTCTGTAGCAGGTAGGTAATTCACACTAGCCATCGATTTCAGACTGCAGAGTTTCAGAATAGTATAATGTTGCCTTTCTTCCCCAGCTCCCAAATTTATACTTTTTAGATCAGAACACCTAATTAAAGAAACATGAATAAACAAAACCAAGATACATAATCACATACCTAAAACCAGATAGACCTCTGGCATAAAAGAACAAAAAAATATAAATGATCTAATCATTTCAGAGGATGACAGAGATGACAGAAAGAACCAGAAATCACAGAAGCAGTTGAAGCACAAGCCAGATTTAATCCTCCTGTCTGCCTCAAGGCAAAATTACTCTGAACTCTGAAATATAATTGTCTTAATGCTAAAGTAAATGTCTGACCCATTTAATACATATTTGCTCTTCTTATGTAATACAAAACAAAAAATTAGCCCTTCAAATCCTTGCAAAAAGACATAATCTCATTTTTTACATTTAAACTATTGCTATTCATTTGGGGGGTTTACTTATTTACTTAGTTATTTTTAAACAAGTACCATTTTCCCACCTTGCAAATTGTCTCCATATCCCAGGGTAAGATGGTCCTCAGATCAATAACTTCACAGGACACACCAAGTTTTTCTTGAGCCATCGCTGCAACCTCTTTGATCACATGCACCTGAAAAGACAATGTATTATCAACAAGTTAAACTTGGTGATACTTGATTTTTGTTTAAGATGTTCTAAATTACGTTAAATCACTGCTTGTCTTGACGATGTGTATCTGAGTCTTGCAGACAGCCTGCTGTTCATTTACCCCGTAGTATTTATTCAGTTCATTCGTCTTGTTTACTTTTTTTTTTCTTTTTCTTTTTGTAATTTAGCACAGTGTTCAAAACCAGGAAGCTGCAATTAAGGATTAAGTGAAAACAAAATGGTTGCTTTCCAGAAAAGCATCTTTCAGTGAATAACATCAGGCCATGCTATTTTAACACCTGTAACCAATGTGGGACTGGGGTATTAGAGTTTTTTCAGGACTATAACTAAGATTAAGGTATTTTGAAGGAGCAGTCATAGGAAGCTAAACAAAAAACATTGCATACAATCAGAAATAGTCCAAGTAGGTGTATTACTTGCATAACTTGAGCTACAAAAATTGAAATCGCCTGCCACGTGATCATTTCCTTTCTGAAGTGTTATCTTTTTTAACAGATTAGTAAAAATAGAAATAACTGCCTCTACTCCTGTCCTCTCACAACCATATTGACATTAATATGGTCTTCCAACACAACTCAAAATCAAAAATTGCCAGCATCACATTACCCAATTACTATAATTAACAAAAAAAAAGAAAAAACCTTTGGTAAGAGGTTTGCATTTATTTAGAATACACATTATTCATTATTCAGTCAAGTAATCTATTTAGCAGCCTACATAAGTGCTTCTTAATAGAGTTGTAAAGCRATCTACTTATATTAGCACACTCAAGCCAAAGAAGACCAACGTCAGCAAGCGCGGCACCATCCCAGGGTTCTCCCTTTGGAAGGGAAACCACGAAGCAGCAGGAGATTCTGCTGGCCAGAAATGACCTCACCTGGTCTATTCCTCCCTTTCTCCAGCCTACTTATTTCTTAAGCCTTTATTCTATCTACTGCTTATACGGACTCTTAACTGGCCCATTTAATACACTGACACTTCTGCCTCCTGTTTATTAAAGAGGTGAAATTGCTTTTAACARTTTTAATGCCAACATGGTCTCTATATTAAGGGAAGCCTTAGAAAGTTACAGAAAATGCAAGGAAAATATTAAATTCCACACAGAACAAATTTACACTAAAAGAGGACAAGTGAGGATTTAAACACAAATCTATGCAACTCTAACAGCAAAACAGCAAAGCATTATTTTAAAAAGATAAACCAATACAAGTACGGTAACAATAAGAACATAAATCTTACAGTGTTTTTCTTTAAACTTCTAATAAACCAGTGGCTGTAATAAAAGGTAAGGCTTARGAGTCTTCAGCAAGACACATGGGAAGAATGTCTCTGCTGTACAAGCGCAGATGCCTACGCAGTACAGGGGGAATAAGGATTAATGTTGGCAAAACTRGGTGCAGGAAGACAGCCTGACGGGAGAGGAGCTAAAAGCCTTTCCCACCCCTCCAGCACCACTCAGGAAAGCGAGAACCAGGCACTGTGGCAACCTCCTTCACAGCTGCCAAGCAACCACCCAGCATCCCGGGGTCACATGAGAAGTAACCCCTCAGTACGAGCAWCGATTCCGGCAAAAACAAGAGACCAGAATTTGTTGACCTACCACAGGTGCCTGAATCACGTGCACAGAGGCTGCAAGGCACTGCCATGTGTTCATGCTTGATGTGCAAAGGCCAAGCAAGTCTGGCAACACCCACCACGCAGGGGATTTAACCACGTGCACGGAGATGCTGAGCAGCTCTGGTGGACACCACGAAGCTCTGCAGCACAACACAACACGCTGCAGGCTGGCTCGGCTCCAGACGAGGGCTGCACCCGCCTCCTGACATGTCTCATCAAAAGAGCTGCTTGTCCCAACRCCTCAGCACTTCCTTCAAAAAAAAATCAATGCGTTCTGCAGCCTGCAAACCTGTCGCTCAAAGCCCTCGCGACACTACTTTATGCCTTGCAAGTGTTACACCTTTAGAGTTTATTTCTCCTTTGATTTTTGGTGAATACCACAAGTACTAAGGCTTTATTCAAATGAAGCAGGAATTACCCAGGACAAATTTGCACTTAATTCACAAGAGGGAATATTTGGAAATACAGTTTGCTACTGGAAAAYTGAGTACAAGGCACTAAGGAATCCATAATTTAATTTTACTGCCTAATACAAAAGAAGTARGAATAACCAGATACAATATTAAGTAATTTGAGGACAAGGAAGTCATCAGAGAAAACCAGTGAAGATTACAGATTAAAACTTTAAAGAGCCCACTAATTCAATACTACACTGATGGAATTTACACCGCTCACTTCCCACTCTGAAAGTTTTTCATCTATAATTATGTCAAGAAAATAGTAGTTTTCCTAATTGCAGGTTGCCAGCAATACAAATATTTTTTCTAGTAATTCCAAAACAGAGTCAAACTTGTGCTCTGTAATTCTTGAACACRAACACATATTTTCAACTGCTCTTCAATATTTGCATATCCCAATATGAGGCACTCGATCATATTCTGTAAGAGTTTTGTAAATTATCAGAATGAAAACTGCACTGATCACTATTTGTCTAAGGATTTTGAAATTATCTTAAACTTTTCTCTGTATTTTAACTCCCCAGGGTTGGGGGGAGCGAGAGGACCATGCCTATTATATCTTTTTCTAAATTAGTAATAACTCAGGGAAAAAAATGGTTTCTTTCAGCATACTATTTTGAACTGTGTTTTCCCATCACCTTTCTCAGGGTTGCATCTCACTGCTACATTCTTAAATATGTAAGCCTTATAATTACAGATAAATCATTAACCTCCTGCAGGGGAAACTCTCTCACATTCCCAACTTCCATCGAAAACACTACTACCTGGCACGCTCAGAAACAGGTTTCCTATAAACAACATGGCCAATGGCTTATTCAAGCACACAGAGAGTGAGGGGGCACGGGGTTCAGTACAGGGAACTCGACCTGACATCAACACTATTATCTTTAAAGAGCATGTCCAGGACACCAGGTTTTGATGGTGACAAACAGCTTCCAAAAACTTTCTGACCTGAGTCCCCCAGGCAACCAGGGTCACATCATTGCCCGGCTGCAGCACCTCAGCTTGAGACAGCGGAACGTAGTAGGGCTCCACAGGAACTTGCTCCACTAAATAAAGAAAAAAAGACAAAAATAATCATTAGATGCCACTAATATTCAGTAACACCCCAGAAAAAAATATACCTCAAAAATAACGATAATACCATTTAAAACAACACATTGAAATCAAGTATTTTTATTTCCAAAGATTTAGTTGTAATTCCAAGTATTTTATCATATTCTATGGATCCCTTTCACTGACATTTATAGCATCTAGTAAAAATTTATATGTACAACTAGCAAGGTAATAAGACGCAGTGTTCCCCCAAGTCAAAAATAGCATGAGATCCACTATACCTGGTAAGAATCAATACTGCATCTAATTCTAGAGTGTATAGACAGGAAAAAGGAAAAAAATAGCAGTGCTCTCCTGACATCTGCTCAGAATGGTGCTCCACGTTTGTATGTCAAAATCACAGGAAAATCAGTTTTCAGAATCTACAGAGAAACTGGCTCCAGGAACCCCTGATGATAACAAGTGACTCAGAATATTTTGCTTTGGAAAAGCTTTTTATTCAGCAAAAATATATTACTATTAGAGAAAATAGACAAAAAAATAAGCATCTCGTGTTCTCTAAAATGGACTAGGTGATCTTTAGAGGTCCCTTCCAACTTTAATAATTCTGTGAAAATGTTTAAGGTGGTTCCAGGCAATTTAAGCTCCATTTAGTAGTGGAAATACCTCAGAGCTTCTGGGCTAGTTTTGAAGCAATGCTCCAAAGCTGAAACACTATACACATTGACCATTTTAATGACAAAAGACATCCATACACCATATTTTAAAATAAATATTTTATTGCAACTTAAATGGACTTATTTGGACTTAGACTATGCACTAGCAAATTTTTACTAATACAATCCAATTGTAAATAGACTTCCTTAGCATTTTTCTTAATACACAATACCTGTCTATAGAGAAGGCACCCTAAYTTTTGTTAACCTATTTCGTAGTTCCAGAAATAGTTATTCACTTCCTGCAGAGCAAAATTGCTTCTGGAAGGGATGATYAAGAACTGAGTGATATCTGTGGGACGAGACAAGATTTTAGTATTTTACTCATGTTAAAATGGCAGATCCAATATGGACAGACAGAAAGATCCGTTTTTTTTTTTTTTTTTTCCTCTTCCCTTGGATTATTATATATACTATGAACATGATTTTAATAAATCAAATGGTGAAGGATTTTCTAAAACTACATGAAATTTCATTACCAGTTGTAATATTCAAATCTTGCACATTTTGCAGAATAACAGAAGCGTTGAGGGTTATAGGACCTCTGGAGATCATCTAGTCCAACCCCCTGCTCAAGCCAGGTCACCTAGAGCAGGTTGCCCAGAGCTCTGTCCAGTTTGGCTGTGAACATCTCCAAGGATGGAAACTTCATAAGCTCTGAGCAGACTGGATCAGTGTTTGACAACCCTCACAGTAAAAGGCTTTTTCTTATCTTTATGACAGAGACATCTCATTTTCCCTGAAGGGGCACAGAGCAGACTGTASAGGAACTTTCCTTCAGTGTAATTCGTAATTCAGAAACACTCGCCCATGGGGTCCTCTGGCTTAAGCACAAGGGGATTTTGTAGCACAGTACAAAATCAGATACCAACAGCCAATTTTTGTTGTTTGTATTTAAGTATTGTGTTCAGGACCTTCCTGTATCCACTTATGTGAAAGACAAACGGCTGGAAAGAGGCGGGACGGGGAGACGCCGAGGAGCCCTTCCATGCGAGCGTTCGCACCCCGCGGCCCGGCAGACCCACGCTCTGCTCAGGCAGGGCCAGGCAAGATGCTGAAAGATGAAGCCAGCCCCCACGGTGTTGGCACTGCACAGCTGACTTCTGCACGGGATCCACGGGAAACCCGCAGAGCAAGGACCTTGTAAAGATGCCACGAGCTCTTTATGAATAAAAACCCAGGCAGCTTAAAAGAAGATCTGGAAGTGACAGCTGGATGTCAGCAGTGAAAGAATCAGAAAGATCATGTGAAACAACCTCCTTCGTGTAGCAGTTTTATATAAGGTACAACCCCATAAACTAGCTGATTTCTTTTCACAACTAAACCATTCTGCCACAGAAGACCTGCTGGGGAAGCTCATCTAGAGTTCCTTAGGCTTCTAAATGTGTAGCTCAGCTTACCAGAAAACGTTAGGCCCAGCTTTGACCAGATTTTGTTTAAATGCCTTTGCAAAAGCCTTCCCTTCTACTAGCACAGTGAAGAACAGCATCTGAAATTCTTCTATTAATTCTCTACCAATTATTAATTAACCAAACGAGGACAAAGGTGCTTATATACAAAGCAGTCTTTCATCTATTAATGACTGTATCAAATAAAATATTGTAAAATATTGTAAAACAAACATTTCGATCACAGTCTTCAAATAAAGCAATTAGCAAAAAGTTGTGATTATCAAAAAGTCCATTGCAAATTAAACTTAAAAGAAGCTGCACCATCTGTTGCTTTTTCTTTTCTGAAAGAGCAGTCTCAACATCGAGAAGAAAACATATGTTTTTTCATCTTACCTGTCTTGTCTCTATAACAACCACTGATGCAAGTCGTATTTATTTCTACCCCACGGATGTCATATATAGTACAATTAAATGAAACTGAAAAGGTCAAAAAACACCAGACTGGGTTCTCCACAAGATGTCTAAACCTGATAATGTCAAAGTGACTCATCTTCTCCTTTGATTCATAATCATTATGTACTCTTCACACTGCACAGCCTGTTAACTACTTTTTAAAAACCAAAGTCTCCTTGTTGTGCTTTTTTTAATACGGATATTTTCTAAGCATCTCTGACATTTGGGGGATGTCACCATGGCACTTGCAGTAACATAATCACCTCAGAAGTAAGTTTATCAGAGACAATTTTATATTTCTATATAGATTACAAAAATAAAGTTATAAGTGTATACATAGTGTGCATATATGCATTTTTATATATTATATATATTATTAATAATATATATTCATATATGTTATATATAGATGCATGTGTGCACAAACTATGTAAACAGAAACACTAGGCTTTTACTCAGAAAGGTTTGCATCTCTTTGCTCGTTTCCAATTACATAAGACAAGATAATATTTCCTGGGAAAGCAACTGAGTACACGTAAGTCTCCAATGAGTCCCACAGCTCACACTCAAACAAAACACTGCAACTAGTGTTTTATATTTAGAGTAACCTCTAAATATAATCAYATCTAAGTAGAACACCAGCTACAAAAAGGATTTGAAGTAAATGCTTTTTGAAATTCTGAATCTTTTATGATATTCTTTACCTATAAATCTGAAAGTAATCAATTCAAACRCACTTGATAACCTTTTTTTTGCATAAAGACCCCTATAAAATCTAGAGTATATTGTCATATCTTTAAAAGTCTGCGGCATATACATAGGGCAAGCAACACAAAACTCTTCCCGAAAACACCCAAGAGCAAAGCCAATTGCTTTCGTGTGATCTTGGGAACCATGCAGTACTGCTGGACTGGCAAAGGTAATCCAAAGGATCCAATTTTGAAAGGTGAAGTGCTATCCAGGAGGTAAAAACCCATTTCCTCCTCCCTACATGTACAGCCATGAGGTTCATGGCGCTGCCACAACTGCCCAAGCAAGTAAGCAGAGAGCAATCGTGGGCCCTCCCAAGGGCCCAGGCCCATGGGGGGAGAGCAAGTCCTCAACTACAGCCAAGCAAACACGCGAGGAGGAGCAAGCACACGAGGCTGAAAAGCTGGCAGCCCCCCCAGTGCCTTGGCCAYCGAGGCCGCACCACGACTACTTCATTGTGGGGAAGAAGTACGTAACTAGTAACAACAGATATTCTCATTGGTAAGTGTTTTCCTTTCTCCATCCAGCTCCTTCCTAACACACATTTCGCAGTATCCAAACAGAAGAAAGATMGAAATGGATGGATACTGAAACTCCAACAGCAGGCATTTTACAAATGAGTTCTGAGATTTTCCCCAGGTGATTTCCAGTTTCTGGCCCAAACTGGCTTAAAACCTYAAATCAAGGGTGTTTGAGACACCCCTGGTGGGCTGTGCTTTACTTCTAGGGCTGCTGTTCTCCTGCAGTCATCCCCACACAGATGAGGAGACCTTCGGGCAACGGCACCGTGACATCCACCCCTCTTCYGCAAATAGCTAAAGACAGGGAAGGCTCAAGGCGTGACTTTGCTCTTGTGTTTTCTGTGGCCAAAGGCTTGTTTGGATAGCAAATATTAACCCAGAAATGAACATTCATTTAATAAGCATATTTAGTTTTACCTCACATCTGAACAAACACACGACATATTTGACCTGTATTCATTTGGCAAGACCTTACGTCATTTTAAGCAAAATATTTTAAGCATCTTTGAAATTAAGCCATCAAATTATCCATGTGATAGTCACACTGAAATATTCTGCATTACAGTTCCATTTCTCCTTAGAGAGTAGGCTTATATATAGCAAGTAATGTCAACCATGCTTTCTTCCAAAATTACAATTTAAGGGACGGATTTTCAAGATTTTAGAAATAAAACAGATCAAAGAGACTTTAACTTTGTGGTAACAGCGACATTTAGCTCTTCTGGAAAAACACATACACAAGCAAAAGGCAAATTCTCATACCTAAAGTTATAAAGGGAAGAAGTATTTAACTTGCTTCATGTTTATATTGTCTTGTCCCAAGTAAAACAGTCCCCAAACCGCTAGGTAACGTCAGCATCCTAACAAAAGTAATTTTATTCTTGCATGATCAAGCCACCAAATGCTCACTTTTCTGTASAGCAAGTATTTCTTAAACTGAAATATTCATGTCCTGTTCATTTGTACACATTGCCACAGCACCCTTGGCTATAGGGTAATGTCTTTTAGCTCTACTCATCATTTTTTTTAACTAGAATACTCCACTTCCAGAATTAACTWGTCATCAGTCAGACTATAACTTATATATTTTATATATATATGTTTATATATATTTATATATAGATATATAAATTCACCAGTCTTTGCATCCAAACTTGTAAATCTTACACAGTTTTCATAATTCCCTAAGGACAAAACCACCAAACAACTATTCTACTTCTGCCACTCTATCAATTTAGCTATGACATAAATATACATATATTTATATATGTATACATAAACATACATACATAAAATGTATGGTTTATTGGAAAATACAGCACAAAAGTCTCTTACCTGCAGCTCGGTAAAGTATTTTAGGCTCAAAGAATATGCATGGATTTTTGTCCTCTATACATGATAGCAGCAATCCTTTGGCCTGAAGAGGACTTCTTGGAATAACAATCTGTAAAAATATTTTTAAATAGTGTAATTAATGTAATTTTGTTACAAGCCTTATCAGTTAGCACTGCAGTGAGCAAAATAATAGTAACTGGTTGCCTTCAATAAAATTAGAGACTGAGCAGTCCTTAGACACAAAGTGCATTAACATAAATTACTATGATGCATGCTAACTTTTTTTTTTTTTTTAAGTTTGATTAGGCTTAAACAGGTCACTTCTGTACTGTGATTTACATATTTAATGGATTTCCCTCAGATTAGGTAGAACTCACAGACTTCCATAACATGTTGAGGTAGATAAGAACCTGTCTGAAGATAAGAAAGCCTGTCAACTTCAAAGACTATTAAAGCATTACTTGAGTAAAATATAAATGGTGCACACAGATGACAAGTTTTTTTAGCTGAGCAACCCTGAGTTGTTTGGGTAAAGATTCAAAGTGCCTGGAATTTCTTCAAAGTTACTATAGGAAAGTGAAATTTGAAAAAGGCAATAGCTATAGCAATTTAGAGTTGACTTCCTTTCCTTACGGCAGAAGTCTGAAACCTGTTGGCTTTGGAGGACCAAAGCTATTTGAAATAACTATCAAACGGGGCAAACAGTAAGTAAGGGCTCAAGATGTCATTTAGATATTGGAATAAGTACAAGGTAAACACAGGATTGTTTTGTAACAGAATAAGTAATTACGGATTAATTTGATACCCATTTTAGGRAGCTTCAGGGAGCTCCTTGGAGGAATCTCCTGATCCAGGTTCCTATAAGGAAAGAGGGTCCAGGAGAGCTGGCTAACAGTCAAGCACCACTTTCTCCAAGCTCAGAGTCAGTGCATTCCTACAAGAAATAGGCCGAGTAAGGAGGACAGGAGACCTCTATGGATGGGCAAGSAGTTGTTGGGTAAACTTAATGAGGAAAAGAGTRCATACATATTATAGCAGAAGGGCCAGGCCACATGGAAATAAAGTAGGAACATTGTCAAGGAATGCAGGGATGCAACGAGGAAGGCCAAGGCCCTTTTAGAATTAGAGTTAGCAAGGGATGTCAGGGACAACAGGATGGGCTTCTACAAATACATCAGCAGCAGGAGGAAGACTAGGGAAAAGTGCTGAATGGGGAGGGTGCCTTGGTGACAGGGGATGCAGAGAGGGCAGAGTTACTAAATGCTGCCTTTGCCTTGGTYGTTACTGCTAAGGCTGCTCCCCATGAACCACAGAGCCCGTATATAAGAGGGAGAACCAGGAGAGAGGAAGACCTTCCACTGGTCAAGGAGGATTGGGTTAGAGATCATTTAGCCAAACTGGTCACCCACAAATCTATRGGCCYMGATGGGATGCACCCAAGAGTGCTGAGGGAACTGGCCAAGGTTATTGCTCAGCTGCTCTACATCATCTCTGAGAGGTCCTGGAGAGCAGGGGAGGTGCCCRAGGACTGGAAGAGAGCCAACATCACTGCAGTCTTCARAAAGGGCAAGAGGGAGGAGCCAGGAAATTACAGGCTGGTCAGCCTCACCTCCATCCCTGGAAAGATGAAGGAGCAGCAGATCCTAGAGAGCATCTCTAGGCATGTGAAAGAGGAGGAGGTGATCAGGAGTAGTCAGCATGGATTCACCAAGGGGAAGTCATGTCTGACGAACCTAATAGCCTTCTATGATGAGATGACTGGCCAGCTGGACGAAGGGAGAGCCATGGATGTGTCTGCCTTGACTTTCTGCAAGGCTTTCGACACCATCTCCCATAATATCCTCATATGAAAGCTCTGGAAGTRCGGACWGGACAGGCGKAAAGTGAGGTGGATTGAGAACTGGCTGGATGGCAGAGCTCAGAGGGTGGTGATAAATGGGGCCGAGTCCAGYTGGAGGCCTGTGGCCAGTGGTGTCCCCCAGGGGTCAGTKCTGGGCCCAGTGCTGTTCAACTTGTTTATCAATGACCTGGACGAGGGCACGGAGTGCACCCTGAGCAAGTTTGCGGATGACACCAAGCTGGGTRGAGYGGCCRACACTCCGGAGGGCTGTGCTGCCATCCAGAGGGACCTGGACAGGCTGGAGAGTTGGGCAGACAGGAGCCTCATGAGGTTCAAYAAGGACACGTGCAGGGTCCTGCACCTGGGGAGGAATAACCCCAGGCATCAGTACWGATTAGGGGTCGACCTGCTGGAAAGCACCTCCACGGAGAGGGACCTGGGARWCCTGGTTGACACTAAGTTAACCATGAATCAGCAGTGTGCCCACGTGGCCAAGAAGGCCAATGGGATCCTGGCCTGCATCAGGARGAGTGTTGCCAGCAGGTCAAGGGAGGKGATYCTGCCCCTCTCCTCAGCTCTGGTGGGGCCGCACCTGGAGTGTTGGGTGCGGTTTTTGCTCYCCAGGACAAGAGGGAYGTGGAGCTTCTAGAGAGGGCCCAGCAGAGGGCAACAAAGATGATTAAGGGATTGGAACATCTGTCCTACGAAGTGGGTTGTGCCTGTTTTCTCTGGAGAAAAGACAGCTGAGAGGGGATCTAATTAACATGTGTAAGTACCTGAGGGGAGAATGTACSGAGGAAGGGGCCAAGCTCTTCTCAGTGGTGGCCAGTGACAGGACAAGGGGCAATGAGTATGAGTTGAAACACARGMAGTTCCATCTGCATGTGAGGAAGAACTTCTTCCCTGTGAGGGTGACAGAGCCCTGGCACAGGCTGCCCAGGGAGGCTGTGGAGTCTCCTTCTCTGGAGATCTTCCAAACACTCCTGGATGCCGCCCTGTGCCCCRTGCTCTGGGTGTCCCTGCTGGAGCAGGGGGTTGGACTAGATGATCTCTAGTGGTCCCTTCCAACCTCAACCCTTCTGTGATTCTGTCATTTTTTTTTTCCTAAACAACAGAGATCTACTTAAACTTTAACAAAGATTTAATAATTGACATAAACYAAGGAGATACAAAAATAACATAATTCAGTATGATCTGCTGTCTTAAAAGCAATGCATATTTACTTTATGCATTTATATTTAAATCAGAAATTAAATGTATAGCATATWATGTGCAGGACAGCCACCATGGATACAGAGGTTGCTAGTAAGGAGAAAGACTTCAATCATATGATTTGACAAAAACAAAAGGAAACCTAACAATACATAGTGAATACTCACACATATAAGGATTAAATTTGTACTATAAATTCAGAACTCAGCAGTAGAAATTCAGACAAAGAGCTGAAGCTATTATTTGCTAACTGGATGACTAAGATCCTAGGTAGTATAACTATAAAAAGCATAACAGAGACAACCAAGTATTGCTGCTATTGCAGAAGTCACTGCTAGAAGCCCTGCAGGGATACTTTGTGACTATATAATCTGTTTTCAAAGAGAATGAAGGGAATCTGGTACCAGAAGAGCTGCATAGATTATTTAACCTATTTTCAGTAATTTAGTTTCAGTCTAACAAAGCAAAGACCAAAGAAAAACAGTAGTTCTGTGAGAATATGGAAGCTAATAAAATAAAGAACAGGTAAATTTGACGCAAGTTAGTTTTGACAACATTCAACCTGGAAATAAAAAGAAAGTTCTAGATGCTATGGCAAAAATTCTGGTGCAATCTCTCAATGGAAAACAGGGAGTAAACAAGATAATTTGGAGAGACAGTTTGATCTATTAAAACTTGCCCTAAGAGCAAAGATCCAATGTCCTTATCATCTCAGCAAGCTTAGTCTTAAGCATGAATAATTGCTCCCCACTCTGAAGAGTTGGGGTTGTGCAAATGCTCCGTTGCCAGGAAACCCTAAACCTCATCTTACACCTAAGGAAAAACAGTATCACAACCTGAAGTCAAAAGCCAACTCCATAACCTTCGTAAGAAAGCAGTTTYGACAACTGTCCTCCCCAAAGATGCATCTTCTCCTCCTCAGTTTGAAACACATGGCCTAATTTGAACACGATAGGCACAGATCTGAGCCTTCAGCACAGGCACCTGGACCACAGCTTCATCTGAGTAGCAGGATGCACACATAAAGGAGTAGGTACACATGAAATATGGCCTACAAATCTCAAGATAAAACTTTCATTGAATGAGYATTAACATACCACCTATGGAACACATTTCATGTGTTGTTATAGTAGTAACTATACTGAACACTATAAATATAATAGTACTTAAGTTGTTTAATAAAACATATGAAGTGCATTAACGAGCATCCTTGCAATAATTATAGGAGCATGCGGTTTTAAAAGATGCAATATTCAAAAGATACACTGATGTTCAAAAGAATATTTGTGCATTGATCCATCAGTTCAGAATTTTACATTCATTTTGACACACAGCTATTAGTGGTAGCGAGATGCACTTTGGCTAAGAAACTTTCCCTCCGGGTTCCTTCAAGCCCTCAGCACCTCTCTCTCCACCTCCTCCCCTAGGACTCCTYCAACACACAGTTTTCCAGAGCAGTAAGTCACTGAACACTAGAAGTTAAATGGCTCTCCTATAGCAGTCTCTATATAAGTTCAATAAATCAACCGATTCAGCTACATTGTAGAAGATTCTGAAGTTTTCCTTGCCTACACAGGCAAATATTTTTCAAATTCAGTACAAGAACACTTCAAAGACAAGTATTCACCAAGAAGATCTGGGTGAACTAACACTTGGAGTACTCTGTGTTGTGCTTTTTAGACAAAATTTTGTTTTCTTTCCCTACCTCCCTGTCTACAATTAGATAGGAATTATTAGACAATCCATTTAATGGACATTTTCTGAACCAAGCTTCCTTTGCAATAAGTCACTTGATTTAAAGCCTGTTAAGCTTCCCAGATCTGCAGTGACAAATTTTCCTCCCAACACATTGTTAATTCTTCCCAGGAGCAGCAACTAAGTCAGAATCAAATCTTTGCTGCAGACTCTAAAGCACCTGAATCCCTGAAATTGTCTTTAGGGAAATCTTCTATGTTTCAGTTCTGAATTACTTTCACGTCAAAAGTTGATATCAGATATTCAAGCAATACTATGCAATAAAGCAAAACCTAAAGATTAAAAAAGGCATTCTGTTTCTCAGATACCATGAAATCAAATATGAATAGTAAGATTTTGATCTGGTTCTTCTAGTTTGCATAGGTCTTTTGATACATTTGCTCTTTTGTTTAAAGAAAGAAAAAGAAGCAGGAGAAAGGACTACAGAGCCCTTTGTAAGCATAACATCTGAAGTTTTGGAAACACCAAAATGACACATAGACAGTATTTTAATATCAGATACACAATGAACACCTGTCTCCAAGCCCACAAATACTGTTTTTGCTTCAAAGTCATGCAGATTAATCAACCTATAAGTCACTTTCTCAAGGGACTGGCTTCCAGTTAATCCAAAAGTGCAAGTCCAGAGACAAAACTTTACTCAGGAAAAACAGACAGCTGGTAGAGAATATGTGCTTAGGACACAAGYATTGACTTGAGATGACCAGGTCCGTCCCCATCCCTCCACCAGGAAGCCACAAATTAATTCAAATATATTAACTCGATCATGTCCTTATGAAGACAGAAGCAAAAAAAGAATATTACATTTTATCTTCTCTATTATACTAGACAAAAGTGAAACATGCTTTTCAAGCATAAAACAAAATGTACTAATTAGGTTCAGATTACTTCAGTGACAATTAAATTCTTAGCTCTTGACACACTTTTTAAGTCAAAAGTGAAAAGTTTTCAATTTAACATATTTTGATGCAAATTTTTTGTTGCACACYAGGCTACTACATTAGTCTTGATATAGGTTATGACTTGAAATTTCTCTCCGTTCTCCTTCACTTGAACGAATCCAAATGAAGTGACTGTACCTTTATCCCTGGACAGTGGGCAAAAAAAGCTTCAGGACTTTGAGAGTGGTAGAGGGCCCCGTGGCCCACGCAGCCCCAGGGGGCTCTGATGGTCAGACTGCCACAGTTGAACAGATCTCCAGAGCGGTAACGATATTTTGCTGCTTCGTTAACAATCTGGGGGAAAAAAGAAAAATAAGCCGTCCGTACACTACATAACATTCTGTCCATTAACTCTAACTCTGTATCAACTTCTATAAAACATTAGATATATTTCCACCATCTACTTCATGCATGTCAGAGGACCAATTCAGAAGCAAAAGACTCCTGTGAAGCCRGGGGAAGAGCAGCCTTTTTCCAAGAGAAGTGAGGCAACAATTCAGAGCACTCACATGCCTCAAGAGCAACCATAAAGCCCTGGAGTTTTCCTATAGAAGTCACTATGCTGTCCACCAACCCAGTCCAAAGATTTGTTTTGTCAAATGCACCAGGCTCCAACAGCATAAAGAGGCAGGTGGTCTGTATTTGTGTGACTATTTAAGCCACCATGGCCACAAAAACAAAAATAAAAACAAACAAGACACCACTGGCTTCAAACTGCATTTTTATCTGCCTTATTTATTGATCCTTCAACCTAGACTTTCCCATTTAGTTAAAGCATGCATAAATMCTAGTTATATGGTTGTGGACGTATTTGCTGAAAGGTAAAAGACAAGATAAAAGACAAGTATTCGTAGTAYTGAAATAGTCATAAGGTTTTTACTTTATTTACTCATACTAACCTGATCAAAGGCTGGAAAAATGTAATCAGCAAACTGAATTTCTGCAATAGCTGTAGCACCTGTAACGGCAACTCCAATCCCAAAGCCAACAATTCCCTGCTCACACAAAGGAGTGTTGAAAACTCTGTCTTTACCTACAAAAGAAGAAAAACAAAAACCTTTGACATACCAGCAATAAATGGAAAACATTCCCTTTAGGACCAGAAATACTCAAGTTACAAACAAACCCTCTGCAGTTAGGCATAGGGCTTTAGATGGGCTTTTTTCATGGTCTAGGGACAGCAATACAGGTAATGATTCTTCCACTCAGTCTCACAACAGCTCTGAGAAAGATAAGGGAAAAAAAATGCAAGTGAAGTTGATGTAACTTACAGTATTCTTATTAACACTTCAAAGAAAATAATCTGTCCTGATGTGCATATAGATAAGTCTGCAAACTCATGCTTATATGGCTGGAGTACAAAATACCTACACAGGGGCACCMATCTGGAAACGTGGTATCCTGTTTTCTGCGTCTAACTTTTACCTTTGGAGCGCAAAGAAATCATTTTACCCCTGACATAGGTCTCTGCCCTTTTCAGGTTCTAAGAACGGCTCAGCCTAAGAGATGACTGCAGACAGAATTCGTTAATTTATGAAGTTAAAGCCAAAAAAAAAAAAAAAAAAAAAAAGATGGGAGACGGTGTTGAAGCACCACTACAATTTATTCTGTAACATCTAGTGACAGTGTTGGCTAAGAGCACTACTCCAGAATACTAACATGAGACTTAGCAATGTTATTACATTTTCCTTTTTCAGCATTGAAAAAGGAGTCAGTTTCCACARGCGTCTACCACTATGCACAGATATGCAAAAATTTCTAACTGGATGGAAAAACAAGCAAGCATGTTACACACTAGCTATGCAACAAACCAACAATAACTAAATAATAAAGAAAATAACAGATTAATATGGAAGATAATTACAACTAAAACTCCCATTTTCAACAGTTGAAAAAATGATACAGAGGAGAAGGGAAAGATCACAGGTTTTAGAAAAGGAATGGCCAGAACTGAACYGTTTATCTGCAGCTCCATGGTACTGCTGAGGCATGTGCTTTAAAGAACACACACGCTTTACGTGGTCTTCCTTGGGATATTTCAGCGGTGGGGGACAAATCATGAGTTAGTTTTGGGCTCTCCCTCTACTTCCTCCCTTTTCCTCCTAACAGGGATGTGGCTAAGGCACACATTTAATGTAGGGTTAAATAAATAAAGCCATCTAATGATAATAAAATTTTGGCATTGTCAATGAGGCTACTGAAACTATTGCAACTCTAAATGGCCATGGCTACTGCAGGATACTGCACAATTTTGCACACAACTTAGTGGAAACGTTTTCAAACTGCTTAAAGATTTGAGGTAGGGGAAGGCACCATTTCTTCAACTTCGCCATTCTGAACTTCTACAACTTCTACTCATTTCTCATAAATCACTGTTTCCTACACAAATTATAGTCACCTTTGGTACTTTTAAGACACACATGCTCTTAACTGCTTCTTAATTAGAAATTAATTTCCAAAGACCTTTTAGCTTTCTTTTCTGCCAATGCCATTGAAGAGAAGAATGTCACCATTGCTAGCCCAGTAATTAACAGAATTATTGCACAGCTCTTGAAATAACCTATTTTGTCATTCAAAAGTCCATCAGACGAGCAATATGATCAACTCTGAATCACAACGAAGTATCCYGCACATCAGAGAACACCGCAAGTAGAACAAGCAACCAGCTCTCGTTCCTAAGATGTATATGAGCAAGTTGATGGAAACTTCTAGGTATGAGTCACCCCCACTTTGTTTCACATCTCATAGGAGGAAGGAAAAAAAGAAAGAACACTAATAATTTCTGTAGATACTGTGATTGAAAACAGTCTATAATTCAAAAGGCTTAAAACAACACAAGACAGAATGAGGGTACCATAATACAACCACGTAGTGCTGCTGGTTTTGGAGGCAGATTTTGGGAAGGCTCTTTGTTTTTTAACTRGTGTGCCTTAGCATGCTGGTACTTCTCTGTTCATCCTGCGTTAGTACTACTAATTTGCCTGGCACTGTATCTGTGTACAAACAGATCAAGCCCTGAAAGCCTTACTTCATAAATAAGGAAAAAGATAACAGAACAAATGTGGAGCTAGGCAAGACCTTCATTAGAAAACATAGTTTGCTTTAATTTGTCCATAAATCATATTCACTAATAGACATTCTTCAGCTTTACTGCTGAGGATTCCAATTAAAATGTTTCAAAACATGCATAAAAAGGCATTTCTTCCTTCCTGCAGAGCTCACAAAAGGGAGAATGTTTCTATTCCATGAGGTGCATTCCTGACCTACAGAGAAGGCAGCACGTTGGCATTCTGGAGTATTTTGCCCATTCTACCAATTCTTGATCAATGAGTGTTATTTTATAACTGTTCAGGTTGCCAAAATTGAATTTACGAAGCCAATCATTAACGCAACGCAGATATAAGAATAACATAGGCTGGCAAAAGATTAAAATAACATAAGAGAAAAGATGAGAGATACTCCCGTGTCAGCTAATAAAAACCAGAACAATAAATGGGAAGAGTTGCCTTCAATGTATGAACCAGTTCTTTGACTGCGATAACAAAGCAATGCATCTGCTGGAATAAGACAAGGGAAGTGTCAGTACAGAAAGTTATGACTTGTGACACAGAATAAAGAGGATGCCAGGCAGAGACTTTGATATAATCATCTTCTGCGAACACAAAGAACATCAGGGAATTAAAAACATACAAGAGGAACAGGATTTTCAGTAGTAAAAGCTGGTAACCAGAGCACTGATCATAGAAGCATTCAGAAAACACTTAAAAAGTAAGTTTTAGAAGAGACTGATGTGAAAACATCAGTTAAATTCAAAATAAAATAAAATATATTGAAATTCATGTACTCAATCACCATTCTGTCCACATAAATTTCATTTTAACACAAATTTCATTTTAACACATCCTAGCTTATTGAAATACAGTTGTTAGCCTGGTTTAAAGCTCTACCACAATTAAAAAAAAAAAAAAAAAACCCACACAATGAGAGCGGAAAAGGGTCCAGAAAGAAAGTCAGGTAAGCTTACTTAGTCTTATTCTTCACTAACATTTTTTTCAGAGTAACCTGAAATACATCGTATACTGGTTCTATAAATACCTTTGAATCAACCCCTCATGCCAAAATGTATTTGAACTGTTCTGTAAAATGATATGCAACTAATAGTTCACAAAAAGCTTTAAATTGACTGTTTAGTACCAATCTGGACTAAGTGCATTTGACTTAAAAGCATTTTGGATCTACTACACTACTGTTCCTCTATATGATCTGAAATATAAAACATCCAAATCATTTTTGAGATACTAAATTACAGACAGCACAGTGCTCTCAACGCAGCAAGATAAAAAGAAATGAAGAGAAAAACCAGTAAAAGCGAATATGAAATGCAACATGACAGTTCTAACATGAACAACCTGGAGGACCTAATTTGGACTTTGAGAACCAAAGGCTCGAAACGCTAGAGTTTGAAATAGTAAAGACATTTACCCAGAGTCAACCGAAGAAAGGGACAGCTAATACCGACTGAACAAGACTCCTACTTGTCAGGGATGTTTTTATTTTATTTTACTGAATTCACATGCAGAATAATGATACTGACTCTTTCTTACAAGCCTGGCTTAAAGCACAGCTAGTCTATTATTAGACAGAAAAAAATAGCTATAGCCTTGGATAAAATTCCAAGAAGTATTTTTTATTATTATTTTTAATAAAATCCTATATTTTAAGACAAGACATTATATACATCATTAGAAAGGCCTCCTTCTCTGGAGATCTTCCAAACGCTCCTGGATGCCGCTCTGTGCCCCGTGCTCTGGGTGTCCCTGCTGGAGCAGGGGGTTGGCCTGGATGATCTCCAGGGGTCCCTTCCAACCTCAGCCACTCTGTGATTCTGTGAGAAAGCACATATTTATTAATTCCCCTGAACACTGATAACTGTATGGTGTAGCTGTAACCGCACATCCTTAGGCCGCCAGCGGCCACGCCCGCRCCTCAGCGCCGGAGCGGGCGCCATGACGCCGCCGGCCGCCATGGACCTGCCGGATTAACGCGCGTCCCCGGCCCCGCCGTCCGAGCAGCCCCGTGCCCGGCTCCCAGCACACAGCGGAGCCGCCTCACAAGCCGGGTGTGTGGGAAAGGGACAATTCTTCCCTGCTCTCCATCCCCAAAACGAGGAGGATTCGGTGCACAATGGGCAAAGAAATAAATACCCTGGCAGCACAGCAAGGAAAAGTAAACCTGGCAGGATTAACAGCTTCAAGGAAGAAAATCAATAGCCAATTAAAAGCGATTTTTAACCCACCCCTGCATCTTCCTCCGAATTCCTATGTTTGAATAGGACAGGACTGACCATTAGGATTTTCCAAACATCCAGTTAAATACTACAGTCAGCACCCCACAAAAGGGCAAGTTACCCTTGACCCTCCGCCTGAGGGGCAACAACTTTCAGACGGTCTTACAGGCACATTCCTGTCCTCCAAAAATACAAAGTTTCATAGCAACCTAACAGAACACAYGTTTGCAGACATATGCAGACGATTATTGTGCGTTAGTGCTTTGGCCTGCTTCATCTTTATTTGTTCCAAGCCGTCAGGAAGAAAGTATTTCAGCTTTCAGTATCTGCAGTGAAACATGTCCCTGTCTTAATGGCGTTTCAAAAATATGGCATCCRAATGACAGCAAACCTTCCATACGCTAACATAGCACCGAAGGCTCCAATTCCCATAAATTTCCCAGTGCTCCCTAAAAGCCTACGTTAAAAGATCTGAATGGATTAAAGGGTAGTACAGTTGACGGACGGACAGAAGGAAGAAACCTAAGACACTTTCACATCACTTTTGCTAAAAAACGTGTCTTAAAGAAAACACTGGCAGCATTGACTCTTGTTAATAATTAAATTTTTCATATATCTAAGCAGCATTATATTTTTCCGGTAATCAATAGTTTTCATTAAAAGAAAATCATGAGAAGTCAATAAGAAGAGTCCACCGTGCTCAACATTAACTGCACCAGTCATTGATGCACATGCAAAAATAAAGG